GCAGCGCGAGCAGTACGGCAAGGAGAACACCGAAATCGGGGCATTCGCTACCCACGCCGTCTGGCACGAGAGCATGCTGGTCAAACTTCCGGATGACCTGGAGCCTGAGTATGCTGCTCCGCTGATGTGCGGCGGAGCGACAGTCTGGTCTGCTTTGACATGCTACGATATCAAGCCTGGAGAGCGAGTCGGGATCCAGGGGATCGGGGGACTAGGGCATATGGCGATTCAGTTTGCGTCGAAGCTAGGATGTGACGTGGTTGTGTTCTCGAGCTCCGCCGCAAAGAAAGACGAGGCGAAGGGCCTTGGAGCGAACGAGTTCCATACACTTGAGAACGGTGCTGTGCGAGATGCTGTGCGGCCAGTAAAGCATCTTCTCTGGTGTGGAAATGAGCCGCCTGATTTTTCCAAGTTAGTGCCTCCATCCTTGAGTGCAAGAGACTGTAACTTACCTCAGTTCCAGAGTATTTCCGCTCATGTCTCCTGACAGTACGATCTATCTGCTGACAGTGAGCACGCAACAACCCCCGCTGCCAGTCATGCCGCTTATCTCGAACGGCATTCGGATTCAAGGATCCGCGGTAGCATCGCGTGTGTCTGTCCGAAAGATGCTGCGGTTCGTGTCACTGCACAGAATCCGGCCCATCATCATGACTTGGCCGATGACCAAAGATGGAATCCAAGCTGCATTCCAGATCTTGGAGCAGGGCAAGATGCGGTATCGTGGAGTTATTGTGGGTCAGAGACATTTGATGGGGAAGCCAGCTGTAGAGAAAATGGGATGATAGTATAAGTCAAGGATTGGTTTGATAACGATGATTCTGTATTTCTGCTGCTGCCCGCATTGGTTGAAGGCCGTAGAGTGTATGTAGAGTGTAGACGGTACTTAGCAGGGAGTTGGATTTCCGCGGCCCGCCCCGTCCACTTCTCCCAGTCTGCCAGAACTCATCACCACACACCACCTCATCTGAAAGTACCGAATTGTCAACATCCACACAACTGAATGGAATACCCAACATGACTGATCCAACACCATCCTGTCCCCTAACTAACTCCACAGACACCATGCCTCCGAGTCGCGTCTCGAATCTCTCCCCCAATCTCCTGAACGGCATCTTCGCCTCCCTCAGCCAACCCTCCCGCCGCTGGTCCCTCCTCCGCACCCTCCAAAGCGACAACCCCCGCGACATCAACGGCGAACTCCGCGGCACAGCATCCTTCCACCCTCTGCGACACAGCTCCGCGGCCTCCGACCGCCGTGATGTGATCTACCGCGAGGAGGGCGAGCTACCGAACACATTCGGGCCGGGACTTCGCTGGACGAAGAAGTACATCTGGCGGCAGGGGGAGAACGGGGGGATAAGTGTTTGGTTTGTGAAGGTGAAGCCGACCGCCAAACAGCCGGAGGCCCAGGAAGAGGAGGATGAGGCGGATTACCTGTTTCACAACTTTGATTTTGAAGGGCAGGGGCAGAGGCAGCTGCAGGGGCAGGATGGAGCGGAGACGGTGGACGCGAAGGAGTCGACGTTTGTCACGCCGCCGGTGCCGCCGCTCGTTCCCTCGGAAGAGGACACGGCTGTGATTATGGCGAGGGGGAACCATCTGTGCATCAATGATATGTACCGGACTGCGTATGCGTTCCGGGTACGGCCTGAGTCTGGGGAAGTTGTGAGCTGGTCGAGTCGACATGTTGTCAAGGGGCCGAGGAAGAATCAGGATATTGTGAATGTGTATCGGATGGAGGGCTGAGGACACCAATGGCGAGAATTACGCCTGTGGACCCGCATACGGAACGATATATTCTACGCGTAGACCCATATCTATGTTCCTTCTACATCAAGCCGGAGCCACTTACCACTAGCCCCCATGACGATTTGCCTGATATGGTTTCCCGGAGATACCCCGGAAGATGCAAGGATGGATAGTTGGCACATGCGACATTTCCCTCAACTACCAGGTGCCATTCGTACAGCCTCAACTAAGGAAGTTGCATATCTCATTGGTATTTATCGATCATCAGCAATCATATCGCGTTCAAAGCGTGTAAATGAAATCCGGCCTCTTATCTCCAAGAAGCTCGATTTGACTGCGATCCAGTCCCTGAACCCAATGATCCCGATCTCCGCGCAGACGCTTACGGTTCTCGAGTCTGAGGAGCAGATACTGCACCAGGGAACCACCAAACTGGAACAGGACTAAATACGCCAGCACGGTACCATGGCCTGGGTAGAAGTTGGGCGCGTCCTTGCCTCGGTAGATGTTGGAGGATACGATTCCGTTGAGATTACCCCAGCCAATGACGATACCAAGCGTTACACCTCGTTTGTACACACCTAGATCATGCTGTCAGATATTGCAATATTCATGGACCTGGAGACGCTCACCTTCAGTGTTGTTGCTGGCCCAGGAGATGGTATTCGAAATGGCAGGATAAATGCCCATGGCTCCAAGGAATGTTCCCGCATACCGTGCTCCGGCTGTTTTGCAGCCGAGGAGCATTGCGAAACCAGTAATGCCGACGAAAGAGACGAGGATGTTGCAAATACCACGTTGGCGCGTGCGGTCAGCGATGAAACCTACTGCAACAGTCACAATGGCCGCTGCTGCGTATGGTGGAACACTGAGCAGCTGGGCCTTGATGGAAGTGTACCCTGTTCTTGTTAGTCGATTCACTCGATGAAGATGTACCGCAACATACCCTAGACTCTGTTAGCATATGGTATCACGAATTGACTAAGCAAACTCACCAGCTGGTTGATGATGGTCGGCACGAAAAGCGAGAATGCATACAAGGATCCATCGGCTCCCATGTAAATGATAGCGCCAGTATAGGTCTTCCAGTCTTTTAGACTAGCCCAGAAATAGGACATCTTGAACTGCTCATGCTCCGCACTAGACTGCTGGTCCTCCGCAAGGCGGCGCAGAACACGCTTACGGTCCACCTCAGACAGGAAGGTCGCCTCATCGGGAAAGTCATGGACCATCCAAAGCGACAGGACGCCAACGACGATGGTAGCCAGACCCTCAAGGATGAAAATCCACGACCAGCCTGGCCTGCCGCCAATTCCATCCATCTGAGCAATGGCAGCAGCGAGAAGACCTCCGAAAGAGCCAGCGAGCGCAGCCGCAGAGAAAAAGATGGCCATGCGTACACCGAATTCTGTTCGCTTGTACCAGCAGGAGAGGAAGTAGCCGACCCCTGGGAAGAGACCGGCCTCGGTGAGTCCGAGAAACCATCTGACCTGCTGATTGTTAAGATCATATCGGATGACAACAGACGTAGGAGCCTGATCAACGAAGGGGTTGTAGGAAGGCACGCACCGCCATCAATCCGGACCAGTTATGCACAACTCCCATCAACGTCATACATATGCCCTAGATTCCATTAGCTCGAACTTGCTGTATGTACAATGTAGCACCTACCCATGCGAACATGATAGCAGGTATAAACCTGCTCGGTCGCCATCTCTTGAGCAGGACATTGGTGATCGGCTCGAAGATTGAGTATGAGATGAAGAAAATGGTCAAGCTGTCGTTATATTGGTCATTGGTCATATTGAGATCCTTCTGCAGGCCAGCGAGCTTTGCATTGCCAATATTCGTACTTGGAGAGTCAGTATAGCTCGTCGCGTTCAAGTGAGAAGGACATACCGGTCTAAAAATGAGATTAAATACAACAAGCTGAGCCATGGGATCAATCTGATGTCGAGCTTGCGCACGAGTGCGCGATCCTAGGGCCGGTCAGCCAAAAGTAGTCTTTCAAATATTGAAGTGATCTTACTATCTTAGCTCGTTCCTCCGGACTGAGCCCTTCATCGGGATCTTCGAAGAGGTCGAGCTTTGATTTTGGGGCGAATTCATGCGACACAGAACCCTTCTCCGCATCGGATTTTCGGGGTACATGGTCGACAGATGCTTTTTCATCCGTGGGTTGTGACATGATGATATCTTGCCGGTTAATCACGGCAGTACAAGTATGTATTTAGGAGTAAAGTAGGGGGAATAGGGATGGGAGACAGAAACTAATGGCAGGGGAGGAGACAGGACAAGATATGGGGGGTAGGCGAGGAAAAGAAAGAGAAAAATTGTGTCGCTCATTCCAACTTCTGATCTTTAGGAGCTCTATTATATTGCGTGAAATAAGCAAGGTCCCTCCACCCCTACATACGGCATTGAACAAGGATCATCATCACTGAGGGGAGCTGCGGCGGATGGCAATTGGCGAGACACCATCGTTTCCACAAATTCCCCGACAAGTCTCCTCTCAATGACCGGCGTGGACGATCAACCAGGAATTCTCCTCGACTCCAAAAATTAGTCTAATTGATAAGCAAGAAGCACACCTCTCGTACTAGAGGAACGCCAAGTGCGGGCCCCCATCTCTCCTTTCCGGAAGCGGGAGACTTAGCGCGGGATGGCCAAAACCCCGCGGGGCATCTCCAAGTTTGTTGGCTTGCTCAAGGCTTGACTGGACCACTTCCGTCGCCACATATACGTGGTGTTGTTCTGATTATATGGTTTGATACACTGAATGACTACAGACTTAGGGCAAATATGAACAGCACCGTCGCGGAATCTTATTTTCAAACAACTTAAAAGCACCGATGCCAAAGCATGGCTAGCAGAAAGTGCAGAAAGTTAAAGTTGGAGACAAAGTGGAGGAATATGCAATCCTTTTCCTTAAGTCCGAAGAAAAGCGTGTCCTTGGCTCCTTGCCGCGCGGGATTCTGCTGATGCATGGCGGTTTGACCACAAATACGAAGTGCAATCTATGCTAGCCTTTATCGGCCACTTGTCCGACCGAATTCTTTGAAACTGGACGTCCTTGGCTCGGGACTTGCCACAGCCCAACACGAGAGAGGGGATTATGAGGGGGCCCGCCATTACTGGATGATGATGAATAATGAACAAACATGAGAGATGTTTCCAGAACCTGTTCAGAAAATACCAACGCCTAGACTAACCGCCAACCCGATTCTCATCGCCATGATGACTAGCCTTCACTCCGCCGCCTTTCTAAGAAACTTGATGCTGCATCTTTCGAAGCTTGGATGGCCTTGAAAAAGATCATACGCTGCTGCGGCCATCTTGACTGAATAGAAACGAACATAGATATCTCCCACCATCTGTCCTTCCTCCACGCTTTCAATATAGTTGTAGTAGGTAGACCGCTTCAGTACGCGGTAAGTCTCCTCCCTCAATGACCTCCGAAGGTGGCTGATTACCAGGCATCGGGTGTAGCCCTGATTAAAAATGAATTGGCTCATCTGGGACGTCATGGGGTAAGTCGGAGTGTGAACGAGAGCAACGCTGGCGATGCAGAAGCCCAAAGGTAGTCCTTCCTTTGATTTCTGAACAAAGTCTAGGGCGTCCTTCTCGAGCACAAACACAACGATAGCAGTGTTATACCCAGTAATAGGGCTTGTGTTGCAGAGAGAAGCCGAGTAGATCTCACCCGAAACGGATGGCAGTACCTGGTTCAGAGACACGTTTGACGCGAGCTTCTCGATGCGGACAGTGCGAAAGACATTTGACTCCCGTCCAGCAGGAATGTATCGGAGCCCGTACTGGAATATCCAGAGATCCGAAACGGGTTGCCGAGAAAGGAGGTTCGGACGATAAGAGAAGGCATCGGCCTCTTCTTGCTGATTCTCAAATATAGAACATCCCTGTATGGCCCAGTGGATATTGCCATCCCAGGGAACGGTGTCCATCCCTGGTCGGTAAGGCTTCGGGACGTCAGAAGTCTTGCGTACACGAGCAACGATCAGAGGTTTCTGAGAAAGAGGTGTCAGAAGCAGCACAACCAGCTATTACGTTAAGATCACTCACCCGTTCAGGCTCCAACACTGGAATCATCAGGTCCTCTATGCCGGCATCAAGCAGGTCATCAGAGTTCGTACGTTGCAGCGATACCGTTCTCAGCTGGTTCGGATCGGTGGCAGCGAGATGGATCCGTTTCTGGGGCGTCTTAGGCTGCAGAGTCGGGACTCTAATATCGTCCAATTGACTGTCCAGGATGTTGGAGCATTTTCGTGGATTGAGTACGACTACTGCGGTCTTTTCGAAATAAACAGATGAAAGAGAGAAGCTTTGGGGGGAGACATTTTCAGAGGTAGTGTTGTCATTGTCCTCTGTGCTGGTGTTGTTTTCTTCATGCTGAGTTTCCTTGTTCGCCGGAGAGCAGAGGGTTCCTGAAGCTTGACAGGCTTGAGCCATGGCCAGAATTACGGCATCAAGACGACGAAAGAGAATGAAAAGACCAAGCAGGAGAGAATACAGAACTATAAGAGAGAAGATGGGGCCGATGGTGAGGGGAACACATCCTTCCATTTTGGGAAAGGATTAAGTCGGAGTCTGCAGCAGATATGAAAACACAATATGGGAGTAGACTCCTCCGGAATGTTCACTTCCCACTTCTAAGTGAATTCTACTTGAGAAGAGATTGCGATTATATGTGAGAAAGTCGTGAAGGCTTCTACGACGGCCTTTGTCCACAATGTTGCAGAATGTGCATCAATCCCAAAGCTCCTATATGCGAGGCTGATGTTAGTATGAGCGGAACAAGGAGTGAGTGTCTGGTGAGACGTTTTGGAAGCGAAACAAAGGAATTATCAGCAATAAAGACAGCATATACCGGTCCGTTGAGACACTATGTTGAGAATGTCCTAGTGAGTTGTTAATATAGGCAGTGTCTCGGTGATCTAGATTTGACTGACGTTTGCTTAGGAGGTCTACTGGGTATATGATGTCAATATATGAAGCGTGTGGGAAGTGCTTGAGTGAAACCGAGGTGCAAAACAGCTCTATGATGAGCAGGAGGGCAGCTATGATAAGAGAAGAGAAGAGGAGAGAAGAGCAGACTGCGAATAGCTTGATATCTAGCAACTTATACTGAGTTGGTTGAGCTAATGATCAGTTGATTGAGATATAGTGCCCTATATGTCCGGGAAGCAACCACAATGTTGGTAATTGCTCAGTGCAATGCCTTGACAACCTTTGGTACTCTCCAAAGCTGGGCATTCCCAACAGATACCAGAGACTGCCTTACCGGACCAGAGAGATGGTGTCAGCACCACAAGGAAGGCATAAAGGTACAAGTGATGAACACTAATCCATTGTCCTTCGGTGACACAGGAACTGAGGTCTTGATCTATCAGGCTTAAGCATCTACGGTATGAGTGTAATCTGGAAGTGTGCGCATTGTCTCACTGAGAATGTTCTGATATACTGATATACGCAATGTCTGACAGTGAGAAATAGCTCATCCTCTTTGAAACCTGTCACATTTAAAACATTCTGGCCGAATGCTAGACAATGTCTTGCTGTTTACTGGCTATGTATTCTGTGCCAGATCGGATGAAACAACGTGTTTCCCAGAATAGGTCATGCTTCAAATGCAAAGTTGATGAGAAACATGTCAGGGCCAGGGACATTCTCATTGAAGAGTAGATCGGATAGATCTACCGCTTGCGTTGGGCCGCGGAACCCAAAAATATCTTTTTTGATAGTGGGGCCTCAAAAAATGTCATCACAAGTCAACACTCCCACTGGCAATAATAAACCAACCACAATGAAGAAAACGATATTAGCAATAGTCAAAGACTGTGACAAGTAAACTTTCCTACCCTATATTTTATTGAATTACCACTAACAACCCCAGCTTCCCCTACAACCAACCCGGTGAAACAGCCGCCTACGAACAACAAATCTCCAAACTATGGAAATTCTTCCTCCCCAACGACCGCAGGCCCCACGGCTACCTCGTGGAGTCTGTCGTTGAACGCATGCCGTGGACAGAAGATTTCCATGTACTTCCGGCCCCGCACAAGGAAATTCATCTCCTTCCACAAGACCATGCGCGCGAGCAAGAAACCTGGACAGAGCGCTGCGAGCGCAGCCTCGATGCCCTTATCGCGCTCGCCAGAGCAAGAGGCGTCTTCCCCAGACTGGGCAAGCCACGCGATGAGCGGTTTCCCATCATCGGGGCCCGGTTCCCCGTGAGTATCGAGCGCTCGGCTATATCCCTGTTCGGGATTGTGGGGCGCGGTGTGCACATGACTGTGTACACAAGGACGGAATCCGGGTTGAAGATCTGGGTGCCGCAGCGGAATCCGAAGAAGTCGACGTATCCGGGGATGCTGGATAATGCTGTCGCGGGGGGTGTTGCGGCGGGCGAGATGCCGATGGACTGTTTGGTTCGTGAGGCGGAGGAGGAGGCAGGGATGGAAGAGAGCGTGGTCCGGAAGGCGCATGCTGCCGGTACGGTGACGTGGTTCAATATCAGTGATGACCGGGCGGGTGGCGAGCCAGGACTAATGAATCCTGGTTTGCTGTACGTTTATGATCTTGAGGTTGGCCCTGAGGTAGTTCTCAACCCGGTGGACGAGGAGGATGTTTGTGCGTTTCATCTAATGGATGTGCGGGAGGTGCTGGATGCGATGGCAGAGGGGAGATTTAAGCCCGCGAGTGCAAGTGTCATGGTGGACTTCTTTGTCCGACATGGCCTAATTACAGCGGAGGACGACGATGATTACCCAGAGATTGTTTCAAGGCTGCATAGATTGCTGCCGTTTGCTACGAGTCCTGGGGCTGGGAGGACATGACTCTTTATAGAAGTAACCCAGCAAAGATACTTTTCCATGAGTGATGATTAATCTCCACAAGAATGTTTATTCATGACTGTCTCAGTTATTGTTCCTAGACATCTCCACATTCGTGAAATTAAGGACCTCGGGCTATCCCAAGAATTCTCCTTGCGCCAGAGAACTCCACGGCAAGTCTTCATTCCAGCAACGCTGCATGAGCGTACGAGCATTCTGAATCTGCAACAAAAGCATTAGTTATTGCGCTAAACTGAAATTCTTCGACCACGTACCTGCTTCAAGCCTGTCTTCTCCAAGTTCTTGACTCTCTGCATTATATCGGCCTGTTGTTGTAGATCTCGGGTTTCACAACCAGCGGTAAAAAGTGGAAACAATGCTCCGACTTCGGCCGATCCACGTTCAAGTTGCCCCAGTGCTTTGAATAAACCGTCCAGAGCCTCTAATACGGGAGCGGATGCTGATGGACTGCAGAGCACGCGACGGTGAAGGTGAACCAGCCCAGCGTATCGGAATGATCGATCGATCGCCCACATATCCGCAGACACGGGTTCCTGGTGATGTCGGCTGTTGATCCGTGCCATATTATCGGCTACCTGAAAATCCGCAAGCAATGATTCGGCCTCAAAAACGATATCCGACGAAGGCCTCTGCTCAGGATCAACACTAATCAGACTACCAACGCGGGTTCTCTCGCACTGGTGAACTAGTTTGGCCAAGCGTGACAGCAACAATGCAGTCTTTGCTGTGTACCCGGTGAAGCAGTCGATGAAGAAATCGTCGTTTGCCGGATGGGTAGAGCATGCACTAACAATGGACTGATACAGAAACAGAGGAGGCTCATTGTCTCGGCAGGAGAGAGATCCCATGACATCAATATATTCCAACCAGCGTGAAAGAAAAGATCCGACTCGATTCCCAGGATATGCCATCTGCACTCCACGTGCAAGGTAGAGGTCGCGAGCGAGCTTCAGGTGGCTCTGCCACGGAATTGGTACTTCAAATGTGCTTGGCGAAATGATCTTCAAAGATAAGAGCATAATGGCGGCAGCAAGATGATTGTCCGTGATGTTCTGGTCCGGGTCCTCGAGTGCTATGCGCAGGGTCGGAAAGACATTGCTGACCCAGTGTGCTATCCGGTTGGCAGGTTCAGGGTGGTTCAAGTACCTGGCTCGGTGGCTGGCGGAATAGGCTAGCATCAGGTTCAAGATATTGGAATCCCCAATTGCCACTATCTATTGTCAGACATATCACAAATAATGAGATTGCAAGCAGCGTACTTGACGGTAAAACGGTGATGAAGGGGTTGTCCCCACAATCATGCGCAACCAGCATTTTGGCCGTATGGTTGAGAAAATGGTGAAAGTACATCAAGTTGATGGGTTTTTCTACCAAGGCCAAAGGCAAGGGTGACAGGTACCGAGGAATGTTGATGGGAACCGGGGACGCATAATACCCGCATCCAACACTATTTGCAAGTCCATGGTCGGCAGACGCTAATTCGAAAGTAGTCCGGGTTTGGCGTTCTGGATTGATCAGGTCCAAAGCGTAATTGATGTCGATAGCCGAATGATCGTCCATTTGATTCAAATCCAAGTCGGGACGGCCATGGTCGAGGCCGTAATTATCAGTCACACTAGTCAAGTAAGCAGACCACTTTCGTTCCGAGGATGAACGCTCGGAGGGCTGGTATATATCACGCTGACAAATGCCTTCAGCATCACGTTGCAAGCTGTACATGTAGTCTTCAGAGGCAATGGGACCATTCATGACCTTGGTAAAATAAGTCTCTGTAGGAGCGGAGCCGGGAGTTTTCATGGTAGTCTCGATTCGTACTGCACTAGGAGAATCTATATCGACAACATCTGAATGTGCGAATGAGAATCGGTGGCGCGGAGATGGTACCCCTGCCTGACGGTCGTCATTGGTGTCAAAGGGAAAATCATTACGCGATCCACTCGAGACTGAATTTCGCTCTCCTCGGTTCCCCGTCTGACGCGGATGCACTATCGAAGGACGTATGCAGCGATGGGTCTCCATGGGGAATTCTCGTATGAACGAGAGCGGTAATGATAGAATGGAGGACTGCGAGAAGTTTAGGGTAGCAAGAGACCTGATACTCAAGCTTGTATCTGGGTAGGCAACGTCTTCAGAAGGGTGACGGGTTGAGGACGTGAAGGACGAAAGTGTCTCCTGTGGCATTGTCATCATTTGCGGCGACGTATCGGGCCGTGAGTTGATTGCATCGTTCATTTGTGATGACGTTACTCCTACTGAAGTTCTATCGCTCATATATGGGAAGCTATTGCCCAAATGATCTGAATAAGCAGAAGAGGTGAGAATTTCATGGCTATTCTCAAGCTCTCTTGAGCACGATGTCTTCGCCACCAGAGATGATCCACAAGCGGTGGCCCAAACTGCGTTGTGTGGAGTCAACTCCTGTGGACTGCCCTCTCCTTGACCTGATCCAAGGGAATCCACCTGTGCGAAATCCGAAGGCAGCACGGCCAAAGAGAGAAGATGAGCAGAGTGACCACTAGACTGAGAACTTGGGGAGCTAACGGAAGACTTCCGCCTTGTTCTACCCTCCCAGTTCAGCCTGATACTATAGTCACAATTCTCATTCTGACGGCGGCAGTTGAGACAAGATGGCTTCTCTTCGTCACTAAAATCATTGTCAGATAGAGAATTCTGATGATGTGGAGCAGAGGCAAAGTAGCAGGAAATAGGAAGCATACCATTTGACTTTCCGCGCCTTACAAGGCCTAGATACCTGTTCATTAAGCAACTGACAAAACAAAAACTTGGTGAGACTGAGACTGCTTACCAACAACCCTTCCGAGATCTTCGTTTTGGCTCAGGTGCACCGGGCCTTCTAGGACGAGGCATTGCACTTCAAGTGCGACTTGAGTGATTTGGCTGAGTGCAAAGATCCGACAAAAAATAGCAGTAGCGACTGGATGAATCGATAACTCGTACTCTGTAAAGTATGGCCGCCATACGGACACGATAGGACCTCAGGACACCTGGAGAATGACAATCGGTGACTTTTTCCGTCGTGGGGATCTTTTTGTCCAACTGGATAGGTAGCGATAATCTATGAGACACCCGCGCCTGGTGTTCGTACTCATCGAGCCGTGGAATTTGATAGACGAACTGACGCTGTTTGTACCACAGTCAGCCAAGCTTGACAAGGCGTGCAGTGGGTAGCGGAAGCACCAGTTAGCGACACTGAGGAGAAGATTGCTGGAAGGAGAGAACAAAGAGAAGAGATGAAACTGAAGCAAGGAAAAGCGGAGAAGTTGGGCCAGCGGATAATACCGAACGGTAGATAGAGATGCAGAATCACAGATAAACCCAAAATAATCAATCCCCTTCGCCATTGCTCGTTGGATACTTCTGTTATCGGCACTTTCGATCAATCGTGTCCCGCTTTCCGAGTTTCAAATGTGGAGAAAGCGATAACTAGAGCTGATAATGGCTGAACTAGACTGTTAACAGCTAAGCTGATCCAGAGCACTGATAACCCGGTCATGTCATTAGCCAGCATCTCCGGGCAGCTATGGCTAGTGATCAATCCGGTTAGCGTCGGTGCTGGTCGGACGCCTGGGGACAAGGGGGTCTGATGACGCAGGTCGATCTGGTTAGCGTTATCAGCTTTTGTTCTGCTGACTTCCTGCCAAACGAGTACCGTATCTTTAGCCTATCTTTATCTTACCTTTAGAGAGGTAGACATCTTCAATTTATAGGATTCGGTCCTGAAACGTAATTTTCTTAATCATGGCGTCCTCCGTGGTTGCAAAACATCCTGTCCAACGGATGTCCAGCCCTTCCCGGGGATTCTCTGCCTTGGTCCACGTGAGCTTGTGCCCGTTTGGATGTTGTCCCTTGGGTGTTTGTTCCATGGCTGACGTTGCTCAAGTTAATCGGTTTAGCCAGCTTTATCGGCTCGTTCAAATTGTGGGTGACCTGGGGTTTCCTTTATATATCTTCATGACGATGATAGGGATCTGTATCTGGGGTGGTTATTGGACTAACTTAATACCTCAGTATGCACGAGAATCCTAATCGCGCGTAAGCTTTTCCAATGCCACGGGATTGGAATTCCCGCATATTAATACCTCGATTGCTCGGCAGTAACGAAGCCTATGGTTGGCATTTTCAGTATCTGACCGTTATCGGTCTTGCCTTATCGACTCTCACTTTTGCTGTCGCGCTGTTGGCGGATCTGACCCTGTCCGCCCGGCTATTCCTCGTTAAGAACCTCTTGTCGATATGTAGCGCTCCGATGGAGGTGCTTATCAGTGTTCTATACTGGAGTCTTCGCATAGTGGGTAGTCGAGCACTCTTATATCCACAGTACTGCTCCTGACGAAGACTATAAGATCGACGAGCGCTTGGTGGTACCGGACTGGGCTTATATTCCAATGCACGCTGGCAAGTCCTCAAGCTGGTCTCTTGTCCAGATGTATCCTTGAGCTAATATCATATCGTTCTGCAGATGTTGGTTTTCACGCCGTACCAGCTATTGTGTTATTGATCGATCTCCTACTTCTTTCCCCTCCATGGACAATCAGTATCGTACCAGCCCTTGGTCTATCAAGCGCAATCGCGTTATGTTACTGGATTTGGATCGAGCGATGCTACAAGTACAACGGATGGTGCGCTGGATACTTATCTCAGTCATGAGCAGTCGGTTACTAACAATGGCAGGTACCCGTATCCGATCTTTGAGCAGGTGCCCTTCGAAGGCCGCGTCGGTCTTTTCGCGATGAGCGCCATTGTCATGGCGCTGAGCACTGCAACCCTGAAATGGCTATACGGACGTGTCAATGGCTTCGGGACAGCCTCAAAACCCAAGGCTCGTCCTGGTGCTCTGAAACAGAATGGTGCTTCGAAGCAAAATGGCGGTCTTTAAAAGCTAAGATGCCGTCTGCGCTGTTTTCTGGCCCTCGGTATACGACGACTTGAATAGACGTCAGAGTTCCTCTTTAAATATTCAGTTGTATCTAGTTTCTTCTCCCGGGAGCTCTGTGAAGATTGCTCCACCAAAGCGCGCATATACAGACGTCTAGGTAGACGTTTGCAACATAGATTATATCATTAGAAGAGGTCCAATAATATATGAATGATTTCATCCGACAATGGGAGTATCAACAAGTAGTTCTAGGATATAGCTCGTAAAGCTTCCCTATCAGAGACGCCCACTCATCGCGGAGACGTTCATCACCTAGTGCAGGAATCAGGCAATGGTCTGGATGCGGTCGAGAGAGCAGTTGTAGGTGTATTTTGTAAGTTGAATATACGCCGTACGATTGATCTGTTCCGGCATCCTAGTAATCATGTATTCTCTCGTAAAAACCTGGCCGTTTTCTAGTATTTTCTATTCTCCTTCTGCAGTAAACATTTAAGGGTCTGCACCGACGATCCACCAGTGACCTCACTGTGGAAAGGCTATGTGCGCCAGCCTGCTTACATAACCAGGCATAGCTTCTTCCGCCTGTTCGCTGCACCTCTTCAACCATCAAGTAGTGTTCGCGACCATAACACTCCATACATCCACAAATCTTAACATGCACCTCACCTCGATGAACGGCACATTGCGTACGGCGGCCTTCAGTGGCCGGTTTGCCCTGGCCTCTCCCTCCCCTTTGCCCACCGCCACGCCGTTATTCCAATGCTGCCAGAAGATGTCGCTCAGAACACAGGCAAGGCCAGCCAGCACATCAACCACACGCATCCCCTTAAAGCCATCGCTTCGTCCTCAGACAAGCTCCATGTGCCTGTCTCCCATTCTCCGCAATACTGCTTTTCGCCTTAACTCGACCGCCGCAAACGCATCCCGCGCCGAAGCCTCCAAACTCGATTGGAATTCCTTCTTCAAACTGCGCGCATCTCGACGCAGATACACCCTTGCCTCGTCGATAATCGCCTCGATGGCCAGTACAATTATCGGAGTACAAGTTCTTTCCGAGCAAGATCTCGAGTCCCTTGGGGCGCAGGTGATGGGCTTGGATCCCTTCGTTGTCCTGGGATTGGCGACCGCTGCCTGCGGTGCGGTGGGTTGGCTCGCGGGTCCCTTTTTGGGCAATGCCGTCTGGAGGCTGGTCTATCGCAAATATAAGCCAGCTTTCTTAATGGTGAGTCCTCGATGTGACATGTCTTATGGGACTCTTGTCCGTTTTGCTCGGCGCTAACAGATGGACAGAGAGAGAAGGAGTTCTATGACAGAATCAAGCGGTTCCGTGTCGATCCCTCGTCTAACTCGATTGCCAATCCGGTGCCGGATTACTATGGTGAGAAGATTGGTAGTGTTCAAGGTTACCGGCAGTGGTTGAAGGATCAGAGGGCCTACAACCGCAAGAGACGCAGTTTCATCATCTAATTTTATAAATCAACTCTAGCATGTCCCTTTCTTCGACATAGCAATTCGTTGGATTCCAATCTCTGGGTGTGCTTCCCTCCTCATCTAAGCTCCGTTAGCTGTGCGTGGAGTTGTCTACATCAGTCTTTGAGCGATCGGCATGAGCGATCGGCATGAGTTTCTCTTCCACGTTGATCTGCTTCCTCTACAGAGGCTACTTATCGGCAGTAGCATTCCATTCTCTGTCCTGTAAAATATACGCTATTGAATTTCATATCTGCTTCCTAAAAGAACCCCGGTCTTGATCAATATAAGGTCTGCTCACGAAACACAGATTAATTAGGACCAGCAGGCGGCATCTGTTCACAGCTTAGATGACTCCTTGGCAGCTTTTGCTGGCGGGTCGATGCTCGCCTCCGACCACCACGGGTAGTTGGCTGGCCCATCGTGCTCGAGAGTTGCCTTGAAGTTTGGCTTGCGTTTCTCGAAAAAGGCCGAAACGCCTTCTCTCTGGTCCCTGTCCAACGATGAGCATGGAGATTCAAATACGACGGCTGATACTTACTTAGCCCCAAACATATGGTACAAGATCCCCGACTCGAGCAAATGCGCTTCTTCGGGGGATTCAGGCCCGCGCCACATCAATGCCCGGTTCAGCGCAGAAGCCATTGGGCTGACGTTCTCGGCTATTTCGGCAGCCAACTCCAGAGCTCGTGGAAGGACCTGGGTCCGCTGAGGTAGAGTCTCCGCAAACAACCCGTCAAAGTGCTTTGAGTTGGGCGGGTAGATACCCCCTGTTGAGACGAGGAACATCGCCCGAGAGTATCCGATCAGACGGGGGAGGAAGTACGACGAGCAAGACTCCATGGTGATTCCTCTTCGGGCAAAGACGAAGCCGTATTTACTCGATTCATGGGCGATCCTGCCTCGCTTTAGTTCCCGCTGCTTCAACGACCCGGAAGAAATGCGCTTACCTTATAGCAGCCGGAAGAGTCATGGTCATGCCAACTCCAACAGCAGAACCCTGCATAGCAGCAATCGTAGGCTTCCGACATCTGTGGATCGCCAGAGCGACTCGGCCACCACTATTGGCGCAGATCAACTTATGAATCTTTCATTTCAACAGCAGAGAACCAACCTATCCCGATGATCCGCTGTCCTCTCTCGTTCTCGCCCGCCGGCAAACCCAATCTCCAGATCCGCGCCGGCGCAGAAGGTCTTCCCCGCACCGGTCAGCACGACTACCTTGACGCGTTCGTCGAGGTCGAACATGCCAAAGACGCGTTCCAGATTCTCGGCCATGACCTGCGTAAAGGCATTGTGCTTGTCGGGGCGGTTCAAAGTGACGATCACGACTGGGGTTACAGTCGGGGAGCCGGCCGGGTGGTGGGACACCTTAATGTGGGTTGTCTGGAGACTTTCGTACGACGTTGGAATGGCCATTTGGGGTGGATTGGGATACATTTTGGGGGTATATATTGATGATGGAAGTAAGTGATTAGGCTGCGAGGTGAAGGTTTCCTCAAGTTACTGCATACTCGATTTTATATGCACTGATCCCTCCAGTCCATATCGGTAATCGTGAGCTGGCTTGATAATATAATCTCGACATGAGATTCTGATGATGTTATCCCCAAGTAAGGGATGGACGAGCTGCCTCGGTAGTCCGGCTGCGATATGTCGTCCACTAGGTTGCCCCGCAAGGAATGCGGAGAAACGGGTCTCGGCTTGACGATCCAAGATCCAGATCGTCTCTTGATGGTTTATGCCGTTTCCATTATATTTGATGACATGTCATATGCTTTCTTAAATAATGACAATTCTTACTAACATCATCTAGTATGGTTGGAAAGGGCAGAAAGATCCAGCAGCAGCCATCAGATTTACAATGGTAGGAGCTCATTACCAAGGCATCACGGCTGGTCCAGCCATTGCGTAAGCCAACTGACAGCAGCATTCTTTCCTCGAGTCATCGCCTCACGCTCCCCGGTCTTGTTACTGTCACCGCGAGTCAAACAGCCATGCTCCACCCCGGGATAATGTTGATAATCGAACGGCACACCGAGCCTCGAAAGTGTGTCAAACGTATATCGCTTGAGCTCGGCAGTATAGACCGGATCGTGTTCCGGGGCAAGAATCTGCACTGGAACTGCAATTTCGTCGATATCCTTCTTTGTCAGAAGCGACGGATGCCCAACCGTGATGCAGTCAACGAGCGGAGGCTGGTGTTCTTGCGCGCCTAGGCGGAAAGCAGCCCATCCTCCGTAGCAGAACCCCGCAACACCCACTTTCTTGTACTTCTCCTGTAAAGCTCTAGCACAGTCGAAGATCTCCAGCTCTCGTATCTCCCGGGAATTCCTCCCCACGAAACCGGGGACATCGAGCTTCTCCCACTCGCCCTTGAGAATCGGCTCCAACGGCAAGACTTCGCCGCCGAAGAAATCGGGGATGTAGACGGTTGCGTTGGCCTCACGGGCATAATGATCTGCTAGCAAGCGCACATTTGGAAAGGTCCAGCCCAGAAGATCGTGGATGATGATGATGGCGACGTCCGGATTGTCCCCCACTATGTAGACGTCGTTCTTGGCTAGCTTTGCGGTTCTTCCCGAGGGAGAACCTTCCCATTCGAATCCTTTCAGACAACAAGCTGAGACGGACATACTTTCTGATATCACTTTTGTTCAGCCTGAGAAAAGCATACAACTTGAGTTGGCCCACTGTGTAAGAGAGTATGGGGAAGCAGCCCACGTGGGGCCAATGTTAAGTGCTGCCTGCTAACGACAAGGTACCTAAATATCAAACGATAGGATAAGTCCTGACATATTATAATCTTACAAGGCAGTACCTAGGCGATTCCGCCTCAGTCTGTTCTAATTGAGCATGTTTTCCAGTTTCTCGTATCAACCAGCCAGTGAAGTTGACATAAGCTTATGATTGATAGCATTAATACGTAACTGCAATGGCTCAAGGGCAAAGTCTTCCGAATCATTTATTAGGCGATGATTCTGTATTTCTATCGCTACTAGCTATAATAACGATACTGGATATTGGACAATTGTCAGCAAGCAGCCGAGTCAACTGGCAAAGCATAAGTCACTGTGAAGCAGCCCCTGACCGTCCCTGAACCAGATTGGCTGCTGGTCCCGAAATGTCATCGTCGAGAACTTTCTCCATAGGCCCGTGGCTCGGGCAATCCACACAACCAATCAATCAGACATAAACAGTGGAAGTTAGGGCCTCTTGGCTTCTCACCCTGCACTATGAATTGCTCCATATGTGGGTGATCCTTTACCCTGTTAGGCTCAAGGGTCTCAGGGTATTTTTGCATCTAATTTCTCCTGCTCCTGTCACAAGGTGGAAACCTGTCTGACTCCTCGTGTTCCCCAGATCAAGTCACTTTCCTCTATCAATCCCCTCCTTTCATCATGTGTGTGACGAGATGTACCTGTTCAACAAAAATCAGAGGCGGCTCCTAGTCTATTTCGCGGTTTTCTATGTTCTTCTCCTTATCTTTTGCCATTTCAACTCCGCGCGCGACCCTGGTTCATACTTTTTCCGACCAGAGGAAGGCTATCGGCCGCATTACAGCGTCAGGAGAATTCTAGAGTCGCGGCACTTCATATCTTGGTTCAACCAGTCAAGCGCACAACCAAAACAATCGCTTCAAAATGTCACTTCAGGAGGACGCGACCCAACAATTTGTGCGGGGATTGTTACCGTAAAGCGCCCTATACAGCAAAATCTCGATACGGCCGTTGGCTCGCTACTCGATGGATTATCGCGGGAGCAGCGCGCAAATATCGTGGTTCATGTGCTCTTTGCGCTCAGCAATCCTTCCGATCATCCAGATTATCAGCAACCATGGGCCTCGAATGTCATCGATCGCATCCTCACTTACAAAAACTCGGGCGCTGATGTGGACAAAATGGAACGATGGGAGAGGGAGAATATGATAAAAGACAAATCTCTTATCGATTATCAGCTCTCTCTCAGATCCTGTTACGACGGCACGAAGGCGCCTTGGATCTTGCTGCTAGAGGATGACGTGGTGGCACAAAGGGAGTGGTACCGTCATACCATGAGAAGTCTCGAGACAATCGAGCACTGGAGGTCGCACGCGAAGATCAAGGACTGGCTATACCTGCGTCTCTTCTACACAGAAAAGTTCCTGGGTTGGAATACGGAGGAATGGCCCACTTACCTTATCTCAAGCCTTGCGGTTACCTCACTCGTGGCACTGGCAGGTGTCTGTGCGCGGCGACGGTCACGCCCTATGCAAGGGATATTGACGAACTCATTCCTTGCGGTAGTCTGTCTGCTGTGTGTTCCTTTACTTATCGCCCTATATTTTCTGGCAGGCCGTGTGACAGTGCAGCCCATGCGGCCCGGCGTCCATCTCATGAACAGCCACGGATGTTGCTCGCAAGCACTTCTATTTCCTCGAGAGAAAGCGCCCTTGCTGATCGACCATCTGGAGAAACTGCAAAAGACAAGACCAGAGCCCGTGGACAGTGCCATTGAGATTTTGGCCGACCAAGAAGGGTTGGACCGTTGGACCATGTCGCCGTCGCAGATGCAACATGTTGGTGCAGCTTCGTACAAGGAAAATCGCAAGTCGTATGGGTTGGATGGGCCTTATACCGTCAAAGGCGCTCACGGTGTGTGGAGTATGAGCTTCGAAAAGGCGTATCAGGCGCCGTTTGATCCAGATGCTTCTTGAATGAAGCCGAAATTCCTCGAGCTTGTCATCGGAGTGGTTGAGGCAGGTTGACACTTGACACTTGTCACCGTCTTCTTTTTGTCCTCAGTATCCCTAGCGGACTCACATATACCTAACGCTCTTCAGGAGCTAATCCGGATATCTCCAGTCTCGGCTGTGACCCACGCTGCTAGGCGTTAACAGTATCACTTTCACCTGTGCAGCAGTGCATCAAGGTAACCGTTCTGTGCAATGGTTGGGACTGTTCGCTGGATGGCCTCAATGGACAGTTTGGTCATATTGACATGGATGCAAAGTTCATGACTCGGCCACTATCTCGAACGAGCAACCCTACTCGACAGAAAGGCCTCCATCTAAGAGGCGTTGTTTCTGTATCATGATAATACCACTTCTCTAGAAGATCTCAATGTGGTCATTATGAAGATAATCCCCAGCTGCAGTCTCATAGGAAACTAAAATATAACAATACTACTGCGATATCCCAGCAAGTAGATGTGTTCAAGATTAGTAAGTACCTCATTCTTCTCTCAACGAGCAGCCTCGGAGGCTACCTACCGAGCAGAAAACTACGGTCACCAAGGAAGTTTTAGTAGGTGAGCAGCGCCGCCTTGAGGTCGCGCGACTTGGGTGAGCGGGTCCGTGGTGAGGCTGAGCGAGCTGAGCATGCAGGGGTGACCTTCGCACGATGCTCACCCTGCCAAACGTAGTGTCTCTCACAGTCTCACACTCTCCCTGGTGGACTTCGTTGTGACGGAGCAATCAGCCTTCAGTCTTTAATGCTTCCATTTTGCTATACAGCTGCTGCAACAGCTCATAGGTTTCTGCTGTTATATTTTGGCACTGCACTTCTGACAAATCTCTCCCCATTTAACTCTCAAATTCATTGACTGATTTGTTAGAGACTGCCTTGTTGTTGAACATCATTTTGATTTGTGTGCTTTAGGATCTGTGTGTGCTTGGGCAAATCCATCAGCGAATGCTAAGTATCATTTTTTAGCAGTGGCTGAAATGTAATCCAGAACCAGGAAAAATAGTTTAATTGCGGGACAAGAGGGCAGGGTTATCACGCCTTGCCAGTGAGGTGATAGATAACATATCAGGGGAGACCACCTAAAAATTCGACCATGTGCATGTATAGTTGAAAGAAGGTCGCGAGTAAGTCATGGGAAGCGGCAGATGAGTGCTGATTAGCGTCTCGTCTCCTCATTTGCTATACCCACAAGGTATGCAGCCGTTCAATCTGTGGGCATACCATACTCCGTATATAATATAACTACCACTAGGCTGATGAGTACACAGTCCGGACGACCTTTTTAGCTTAGTGGTATTAGTACCGAGTTGATATAACGCCACACATCCTCTAGGATACCGTTACACCACTGTACTCAAACCGGCAAGGAGAACTTACTTATAACCTTAAATAGAGCTTCAAAAACAGTAAAGTGAGTAAACACAGAGGGAGTAGCTCTAAATTCATTGACGACAGCTCAGCAAGAGAGTGAGGTCCCTCACGCACCTCAGAGAGAGAGACAGGCCGGAACATGGCAGACCCCTGAGGACTGGTAGTTTACTAAGTATGTTGGGACGCCTTAGGATATGACGATCTGATTGGCTGAGAAATGTATGCTTCAGCAATGTTAGTTTAGTGAATTGAATGATAGGAATGCCTATGAGCGATTCTGTAGTAGTAAATCAGATGATGTTGAATTCTGCTTTGGTCGGACGACCCTCTGTAGTTCTTTAAAAATCTGATTGAGTAGATATGTAAGGAAGTAGAACAAGTCGTCGGCCAGACTCGTAGCCACATTGTCTATCTATGCCTCTCAAATGGCCACTTCTTAAGATAACGAAGGAGCAGGAAGGTTCTTATGATAATTTTCGATTTCAAGAGTCAGGGTTTTTATGGCGTTAGCAAAGTGTATGCGGCTCTCGTGTGTACAACACATCATGAAAACTGGGAAGATTGGACTTTGAAGCACAACTATGCATGCATTAGTTTATGTTGTGCAAGAAGGGCATCACGGAGTAAATTTTTAAATACCGCTTACAGCCAATACTGGTATTTACTTTATGTGTCTATGATGGTATACTGGCAGGAGAGAAAATCTGAAGCGTTGCATTGCAGTTAAATTGATGCAGTCATCTTGACCCCAGCCTACATATAAATATGCTTACCTATACTTGGCTGGCATGTTGCCACTGCCTTCGTAAGCCCCCGAGCGGTTCAAAGCAATGGATGCGTAATTATTATTCAGTCCGGATAAATGGCGAGGCATCCATACATGTAGGTTATTTTTAGACTGCAGGGACTGGAGAATGCTCTTACCATTCATATAATAGCAAATGTTCTTCCAAATTCAATCTAGTACTGTATCTGTCCATGAACAAATGAAGCATAATTAAATAAATACGATATTCCATCGAGGCTATGACGCCCACAGCCCCAGCTGGCTATAGAGAGTATATTATTCGATGCTCACCCTCCACCATTTTGTGTATCCCAGTCTCACCCGTATCAACCCTTGTAGTACGACAGCCTTAGGTTGCATAATCCTAGATGTACTACATGCCATATTCATAGCAACATTTTCATACCAAGGTGGACAAGACTGCAGATCCCGTCTACTTAAAGCTGACCACTCCTGCCCCGCATATTGTAACCCAGAGTGCGTAGACGCAAATGTCACGATGTCAGCTGTTGCAGCACGTTCCAAACCAGAGTTACTGATTATTTTCGGGATTATCCCAGTTTCAGCTGTTATGGTATGAAATCAAGCCTTCCACTTAAATAACTTGCAGGAGGGGCGAAGTTCAGGTTGTTTGCGTCAAGTCCTCGGCTCTACGCGGTCGATCTTCCAGCAGCCAGAGAAATTTCCTTCTCAGCTTCGCTCTGGTAGATCCGTCTGCTTGCTGCTTCAGACCAGAATGGCAGATTCACCACCAGGAGTAAATCCAACCAAAACTCCTCTTGTCTCTGCACCTGCCGGGCAGCAGTCGAACTTCGTCGATTCGGTCAGCCATGTCAATGAATACTACATCATCGCAGGCATCTGTACTGCGTTGATGACTTTTCTTGTTTTTGTGAGGCTGTATATCCGGTTCTTAGTTACTCGTACGCCGTGGTGGGATGACTGTAAGACTCTCTCTACTGGAATGTGGGATGATTTGCTGATATGTTATAGTGACTGCTGTGCTTGCGCTGGTATGAACGAGGATATAATAAATCTTTCCACAGTCTGAAGCTCACAAGTATCCGACTCAGCTCTCTCAATGCGCATACACAGGCGTAATTATCAAAGGTTATTCAACATCTCTACCACCAATGGCAACATCAATCCTAACATGGATATCTAACAGAGGGATCCCTCGGGCTCGGACGACATGCTTGGGACGTCACGCTGGCCAAGTTCGCCGAATTCGATAAAGTGAGTCGACCAGACTGGCGCAAAGATCTACTGTCCATCAAGCTGACAGGTCATAGTATGCGAGACCCCTCACCGCGCCAGCGATCTACTTCACGAAGCTGACCCTGCTCCTGCTATACCTGCGCCTCTTCTTGCTGAATCGTCCCGTGAAGATCGGTATCTGGGGAGGTATCGTGTTCTGCACGATGTACTACACCGCTGCGTTCTTTCTCAACCTCTTCTTAAAAGACCTGCACGCGCTCTCGATGTTGGCTTACAGCGTAGGTGTTTTCGGTGTTGTCAGCGACGTATACATCATCACACTTCCGTTGCTGGCTATTGTGCAGCTGCGTCTGAGCAGGGCCAAGAAGTGGCGCGTTGCTGCTGTATTCCTCACGGGACTTTTGTGAGATCCATCCTCGTCTCATGATGGATTGGCTAAGCTAATTGTCGCATAGAAGTGTGGTGATGAGTTTCCTGGGCTGCATATACCGCTTCCAAGTCAACATCATGGACATTACTTACTCCCTCCTGCCCATCTACATCGTCAAGTAGGTATCCCTCCCGCTCCTTAACTTCTTACCTATCCTAACCCTGCCCTCCAAAACCAGCACCTTGGAAGTCGACATCGGCATAATATGCACCTGCCTCCCCCTCCTCGGCGCACTGTTCAAAGAAAACACGAAGGAATCCCGGCGGCCGACCAGCTTCCGATCCATCCACAACCGTCTCTCTCCCTCACGCTCGCGGTGTCCACACAGCGTGGATAAGAAACATCAGACTCACAGTTCTGATAATATCGAGCTTATCCCGCAAACCTATGCCGCAGGTGCGGTTCCGGAGATTTATACTGTGTCGCCGCCGTCTAGTCCACCGAATGCGATTTGGCGCATGACGACGATTGAACAGAAGTGGGGCGAGTCTTGTGTGCCGCAGCAATGAATCAGCGGGTCCACACTTGTACCATCCATAATTCAGCGCGACTACCTACCTTATTTGTACAAAAGTCATACATCATTGGAATACTCCCAGGATTACATACCTATACTATGACAACTGACAAGTGTCCTTGACTTGTTACTAGGTGATTCGCACAGTGCTCCGAATGGAAACGGCGTAGTAGCTAAGTCTATGGTGTTGTAATTCATTCGGATCATTACTCATACAGGAAAGCCCCGAAGTCCTGAATGGAGTCGATAGGCGCAAAATGGCTCCCAGAGTCTGTATTAGCGATCCATCGGCTCAAATTATGTTCGATCCAGTAGCTCTCTTTTTCCACAGGGAATATATGGCCGCCTCGAAGCTTGTCCAGTCATCCACATGAGCAGCACGGTTAACGGTCCCAGTGACGACACCCTTTCCCATCCCTAGCCCTCACGCCTTTGACTCAAAACCCGCACGCGGCCACCAACACGGTAGGGAGGGAGTCGGCACACGACGGCTCATCACTAAGTTTGATGGAGTCTATCCAAATTAGCTGGGTTTTCCTTTTCTTTGCTTCAACCGCCATTACACCTACAGCCATCAGGAGCATAGATATCGTAATCTCCAGGGGTCAGGCGTTGGCTAGTTCGTCAGAGAGTTTGCCCGGACCTCGCCTTGACCGTAAATGTCCGTGGTCCAATGAGCGAGTGTGGTACTAAGACGATGTTAAGCATGCTGAAGAAGTTGGCTTGGGTAACTGAGCCGTTATGAAACAGCCCACCTAGCATGTCACCCGTTGACCGCCGAAGAAGTGGACGTTTCGCCTATCCAGGGGAGCCGACTGATCCTCCGAAATTATGGCTGGCGATTTCCAAGAGAGCGTTCCGAACACATCGTGATTCTTACTACTCAGGTCCCTCTAGGGAATCTCTTCTCCGCGAGGACTGGTCAATTAAGGAGATGACCGGAATATGTCAGTTCTCTATGGGTCAAAGGAACATAATAAGTCGAGGCGTAAGTGAGTAACCTAAGAAGCAGGCGCACCTGCTCAATGCTGTCGAGCGCATCTATGGCGTCTGATAAAGCCTCAGTCATATCTCCATGAAGTCTAACAGTCACTTACAGCGTATTAGGTCATATGTAAGTCACAACATTCAGGGTAGTAAATATATGCCCCGAGGGTTAAGAAAAAGGTATCTAAGCCCATGCAGGCTTAAGCAGTTAATATGCCTAGTATTAACTGTACTGTGTGTCCTAATATACACGCTGTTGGATATGCTTGGAGATAGTGAATACCAGCAGATGAACATAAAAAAGATGTTGTAGCCCTTCTATGCACAAGGAGATCTGCTGTACGAAAAATATTAGCCATCTGATGTGGGGCACTGAATCAGCGTTTCTACCTTGGCTTCTTTAGTGCTGAACTTTGATATGGGATGGCCATACCAGGTCCGGTTATACGCATAAGAAGGGATTCAATCATGGTTATGAACTTATGCGCTTATGCTTCATATTCGGATCACCCCCTATCATGTAGCAGTTCCTCTTATAAGGTGATTGCAGATCGCCTTAAACTCCCTTGGCAAGAGTCAATTTGTTTCCCCTGTCATTCGTAGGCGTTTTATTCTACTTCTCATCTTCCCTTCTCTTTAATCAGTCTAGACTAAGGGCTTTTCTCATTTTGGTTAACACCTGCGTCGAGTTCTGATTGCAACCGTCTTCTATACTCTGCCTCATCCTTTTTTACGACCTAGGCTCTGGCTTCATGGAAATGGAAGATCTGGAAAAGCACCGATCGTCCAGCCTTTCCCCAACCGAGTATGCAAACAAATCCACACCATCACTCCATGAAGACCATACATCTGCTCACGAAGCAGTCAGCTCGTGGGACGGCGAGACCAAGCGCTTCCCAGAAACAGACCTCTCTCGTGGGATTGTCGGATGGGACGGACAGAATGACCCTGCGAATCCCCAGAATTTCTCCGCGGGCCAAAAATGGGGTCTACTGGCACTCATGAGCTCTATCACCTTTCTTTCACCACTTGCGTCGAGCATGTTCGCCCCCGCCGCTAGCTATGTGGCTGTTGACCTCGGAGTCACGAATGAGACGTTACTTTCCTTCAGCGTTACAATCTTTCTATTAGGCTACACGGTGAGAATCCGTCTGATTTACATCTGGTTGAGGAGCACACAGAATAGGAGACCTAACGAGAAAGTCATAGTTCGGCCCCCTGATTCTCGCACCCTTGAGCGAGATTTATGGCCGAAGAATAGTGCTCAGCTTCGCCAACTGGTTCTTCGTCGTCTGGCTAATCGGATGCGCCCTGGCTCCCAACATTGAGTCTCTCATATTGTTTCGACTCTTATCCGGAATAGGCGGTTGCGGCTGCATTACCCTCGGGGCAGGTCTCGTTGCTGATCTGTTCCCTGTCGAGCAACGCGGGATGGCAACATCGATCTGGAGCTTGGGTCCGCTGGTCGGCCCTGTCGCCGGGCCTATCTGTGCTGGTTTCATAGGTGAAGCAATCGGCTGGCGCTGGATCTTCTGGATTCTACTGATTGCAAGTGGAGTCATCTCATTCGGAATCGAGTGTCTGAACCGCGAGACGTGTGCTCCCGTGCTTATACGTTGGAAGACAGCCAAACTGGCCAAAGAGCTGGGTCGTACAGATTTGCGCAGTGCATACGAACCTGACGGCCAAGGCGTATCGGTTGCGTCGACCCTGAAGTTGGGCCTTATGCGACCTTTGCAGCTATTCTTCAAGTCGCCCATCGTTTTTCTGCTTTCGATCTACATGTCTCTCACCTACGGCCTCTTATATCTCTTTTTCACCACCATACCCTCGGTTTTCCAAATGCAATACGGGTTCAGTACGGGACTCTCTGGACTCGCCTACCTAGGCATTGGCATTGGTTTCTTCATTGGCCTCGCGCTCATCGCTTTCACAAACGACAAGATCTTGATGAAAATGACAGCAAAGAACGGAGGCAAGTCCGAGCCTGAGATGCGCTTACCCACCATGATCTTCTTTTCCTGCTTCTTGCCCGTGAGCTTCTTCTGGTACGGATGGTCGGCAGCCAAGCAGGTGCATTGGATCGTGCCTATCATCGGCATGTGCCCGTTTGGCATCTCCTTGATGGGCTTGTTCATGCCAATCCAGACGTATGTCATTGATTGCTATCCTGCGTATGCGGCTTCCGCGAATGCCATCTTGACTGCTACACGATCATTGGTGGGTGCGTTGGTGCCTCTTGCCGGGCCTAGTATGTTTAACAGTCTAGGTCTGGGCTGGGGAAATTCGTTGCTGGGATTTATTGCTCTGGCTTTTGTGCCGATCCCCATTCTCTTCACCAGATATGGCAAGGCTATTCGGGAGAAGTTTCCGGTCAATTTTGATGGGAAAAAAGCTTAAGAGGGGATTAACTAATGCTTGCTGGCTCTTCGGATTGACCGTGGGTTTTATAGATATATACAGGGAGGACACGAGTGGCTGGTTTGGTTCTTTGTTCTGAATTTCAACAATCGCATATAGAGGCATAATTTTATCTTCAAATCACAGTCAGAAAAGTAATGCTCGATCTGAAAGCAGGTAGTCAAGGATTGTTATGCACAATCCTTTATGCGTGTGCATAAATTTATTCATTATTCGCTGGCCTAACGGACCCAGTTCATATAACTCCGTAACCGCGCTCCTTTAAGTGCTTTTACCTTTCCCACCTATTTTCTTAGCATACGCTCAAAATGTTCTTGAATTCTCTAAGCGATCATAATGGTATCAAACCGCCATAACGCATCATTATCTTCCTCAGAGAAGAAACGTCTCCGAGACAGGAGAGCTCAAGAAAATCTTCGAAAAAAACGAGAGAACCATATCAAATACCTCGAAGAACGGGTGGAATTTTGTGAGAGGCATCATGGAGCTTCATTAATGCAGCAGCTGCTTACGGCTGTCGATAGCCTTCGTCGGGAAAATGAGTTGCTGCGAGCTCGACAGGACCGGTTGCGGAACATGATTGTGTCCTGGGATGCAGATGAGAATGGAGTAGTCTCATCGGCGACATCCCAGCAACCGCGACGGTTGGAGAATGCAGAACTTGACATCAACCCAAGGACTACATGTCAGTGTGATCGGGCGAAAAAGGGATTAGCAGCGACTCCAAACTTAGTTGCCAACCTCGAAATACCAGATCTTGGTGCTCAGAATGAGATCTTCACTCGAACGACAGGACTGACTCTGGAGTATGCTGGGACTGATCCTGGACTTGGTCATCTGAACAGCGTACAAGATGTTGCAGCCGCTGGACCAAACATACTACCTTCTATTCAACTGCCCGAATTGCCTCATTCTTCCGCTATCCAGGCTCTGCCTAGCACTGTTCCCGCTTGGTGTCTGGTCCCAATGAACGAGTACGGGCATGATCCGTCCTTGGTGCCAGCCACATCACCTTGGCTCATTCGTCGGGACCTCGTCATTGCGTGTCCGCCCGTCCCGGCCCCATTGGACCTCCTCCACGGAACTCGGCGCAACTACTTGGCCAACGAGATCCACCGTGCAATTCGGCGGCGAGCGATCCGCGATGCGGAGTGTGTCGCACTGGGCTGGCTGACTTATGTCTACAGTAAATGGCGCGTCTCTCCCAATCCCGCGACATTTGCGCGCCTGGCACCTTTCCAACAACCACTCATGACGCAGATCCAGCAGGGTCACCCGACAGCATTGGATTTGATAATTTGGCAGCAGCTGAGGGTCAATATCCTCAGGAACTGGACCAAGTACGACTTCACCGAACTCACGGGTTATCTGGGCTGTTGCACCAAAGTGCGCTGGCCGTGGGGTAAGGATATGCTGGAGCGTGATGCGGATGATAATCTGCAGATTCGTCAGGAATTCTTCGAAGTGTTTACCCGTGAGAGCGGATGGGGCTTGACGTCGGAGTTTATTGACAAATATCCGGAGCTGATGGAGGGGTTGGATGTCGAGGCTTTACGATTTCGGATGATTCTTCCTAGCGAGGTAGAGTGATCAGCTGTGGCACGTTTGGATTCTGGAGTTGAGTACTCTTGCTCCCAAGAGCTGGAAGTTTGGCCTGATCACGCTGTGCGTATCTAGAGCTCAAGCTCAATCAATGGCAACTTCACCGTTTGTGATGAACAAGTCAGTCGCTTGACAAAGGGCTCTCATTGTCTCACTGATCAGAGTAATATATCTCAAGCTTCTTGAGCATTATGTCCTCCCTCTCATAATGAGCACGGCCCTGCTGTCAAAAGGGCTCGATATGTGGTTCCTTTTGATAAAAGTCATAAACAAGCCGTCCAAATAGGTTGTGACAAGTATTCATAACGATGGAAATAGTAAGAGGAATGTATCAATTCGGTCTTCTTCGTGGCAAAACAAGAGCTTGATCTGAGGTCGAGTGAGAACAACCTGTCAGTGATGCGTCAACTCTTTTCCAGATCATATCTAGGTCCCTTGGCTGGTGTAGCGAGAGTTTACCCCGGTCTCGGTCTGTTGCAAGGACATCAGCATGTTGGGTCATCGCCTCGCAGTTCCCTAGTGAATGAGCTAGTAGTCATATTTCTTAAGTATGAGAAGCAGCTCTCACAAGACAAACACAAATCATCTACCACTCAGCCTTGAGGCTTGACTTTCTTCTCATTGATTTACCTGTCTCCTCACATTATGCTTTACTTTCTGCATACTTACTTTCTCATTTTGCCATATTCCAGTCATTAAAGGATATTAGCTTTTGCCTTTCATCGCCTGCCAGCTTCCTGCTGACTGAGCTAAGATCCGTTGCCTCCTGGTCTTCCCAGGGCGATGAGGAGGGAGCAATTTTCACCACCCAAAAACAAGACATCTCCACACAACTCACTGAGTCTCAAGCTTCTTTTCAAATCTTGCTTAGCTTACTCCTCATTCTCACCTTCATTCCCTCCATTCTTCTTGCTTATTTCTATCACTTCACCTCCAGTTTACGGACGTGATCCTTCTCTCATCGTCCCACAATGGGAGAGACGGACGAGGCGGTTCGCGAGCTGCAGGTGAAGCAGTACGAGCTTTCCAAAACGTTTAAAAGCCTGAAAAAGCTTGGACTAGAAGGCGACTGCGAAATTCCCCAGCTCGTTATCGTCGGTATGCAGTCTTCGGGGAAGAGCTCTGTCTTGAAGAGAATTTCTCGCGTCCGTCTTCCAACGGACAACACGCGATCAGTGACAGAGATTATACTGCACCGACGACTCTCACCGGACGCGAAGATCACATATAAATCTCTCTCATCAAAAAGTGGCCAGGAAACTCTTCTCACTAGCGATGTCAAGCCAGAAGAGCTCGCTGTTAACAATTTGTTTCCAGTGATTGGAAAGATTCACAAAGACTTCCTGAAGGAGAAGGCCAACGTGACACCGAAAGGCTATGTGCTTAAAATTGAGATTGCCGGTTCTAAGTGTCCTGACATGACCTTGATCGAGCTTCCAGGACTTCGCATCCCTGACAAAGGCGAAAGCTAAGAAGAGGATTCTTTCGTTCGCGGCCTTGCGGAGAAGTACATGAAGAATAAGGCCACTCTTATCCTGGCTGTCATCAGCGCGAAGATTGGTTACCAACAGCAAGAAGAGGTTCTAAAGTTGGCTAAGCGTTTTGATCCCACCAACGAAAGAACTATTGGGATTGTTACCCACACTGACACACTTCAACGGAACTCGGAGCAGGAGAACATTCTTATTGAGCTGGTTAGGAACCAGAAAGCTCAATTGAAGCTCGGTTGGCATGCTTTATGGAACGGAGCTTCACAAGACAGATATACTTCAGAGGATCTTTGCAACAAAAAGGAGATGGTGTGTTTTCGCAATGGTGCCTGGGCTACATTGCCCACATGCTGCGTTGGGCTGGGTGCTCTTCAGGTTCGTCTGAACAGAGCTATCTTCGACTGTATGAAACAGTATATCCCAGACATGGCCGGGAACGTTGAGAAAACAATCTCCGAGAATAAGGCCAAGCTAGAGAAACTTGGACCATCACGCACAACTATTCAGGAGAAGCGAGCTTACCTGCTCGGTGTCGGTAGCAAGTGCGAGCGAATCATGGCTCAAGCGCTAAATGGCATGTACAGTGATGGTTTCTTCACTTCAGAAGCTCACAGCGGTGCCCATGATTTTCGCAAACTGCGATCTGTTATCCGAGAATTGAATGATGACTTTGCCGAAGCCATAGAGCTTCGAGGCGCTCACCGCATCATCATCATCGATTCTGATGCCGGATTTCAAAACAAAGAGGCCTTCAAGAGAGAGGACAACCCTTACCTTGACGGCTGGAAACCAGTCTTCATAACAAGCCGCGGGGTGGAAATACCTGGCCATATCAACCAACGTCTTGTCGAAGATCTTTTCCGTATCCATTCGAAGCCTTGGGAAGACCTAGTGAGACGACATGTGATGACTGTCGGGGAAGCCGTCGAACACTTCGTGCATTTGCTCTTTGAATATCTGGTAGATGACCAGGTTCTCTCGGCTCTCTCTCATTCCATCCTTAGCCCAGCACTGAACAAAATGAAGGATACATTATCGGAGAAACTCCAGGAGTTGACGGCGTTCATGAAGCAAGGCCATCCTCAACTGCTTGGCCGAACCTACCTTACACAGATACAAAAGTCTCAATCAAAGCGTCAGTTTCAGGATCTTAGGCGAAGGCTCGGCCTTCCACTCAGTCCTAACGAAAATCCTTCTACGAAGACTATTTCACTTGGAGAGCTGATGAGAGCGACATCGAGCCCCGAGTCTCCGAGCACTCAGTTTTCTGCTGCTGAGATCATTGACCAGATGCAGGCATATTACGATGTAAGTTAAGCGCTGACACTGGCTTCGTTCATTACTTACCTGGCGCTAATTACGCAATAATCATACAGCTTGCAATTGTGATCTTCATGAACAATGTCGCCAACCTTGCGATAGAAAATTGTCTCCTTCAGCCACTCGAAGGTATCTTCACCAGCGCCAGCGTGGTCAACATGGATGACCAGCACATTGAGGACCTTGCTACTGAGCCTACGGCTGTCCGGGAGCAGCGCGAACGCCTCAGCTACCAACTCGAGAAGCTTCGGACTGGTCTGAGCATACTGAAGTCCTATGATATTCCCCAGTCTCGCCGCGAAGGTCTGAACATCTTTCCCGAGCTTGAACGTCATTGCAGGTCGAAGACGTAGCTGACATGTTCCATCCCCTAGAACATAAAAGGTCGACGTTTACCAAAGACTCGGTGTTCTCGCTGTACGCCAACAGGAAACGAGATCACTCCTCGACTGCCGAAATCAAGGATCAAGGAACTCCATTCACTATACCGCCGAGCCCTGTCGTATTCGGAAGTACTACGTTATTGTCGAGCAGCCCTGTCCGAGGTTTTATCAGCTCCTTTGCCACTTCTCCTCCTACTCGTCCACTTGGGACAATGACCAATGCTTCTGCAGCCCCTGCACTTGTGAGCTCCTCTGGAAGTGGACTTGAGAGTCGGAGATCTGCAGGGAGCGGCTTTCCCGACGGCTCCATAGGAGGCAGTTCTAGCAGCAAGACTGTTAAGCGTAGACGCCTCCACTGAGAGCTATTTAGGACAAGAGCTAATAGTTCGACATGCAGATACGGTGGCCCCGTCTACGCCGATACCCGTGTCTTCCTTCACATCAGCAACGACCGAACCCCCTGCACCGGAACGTTGCTGTCGAGGCCTACGCCATCGAATACAAACAACGCATCCTCGTCTTCTTCCAACTTGAATAAATCAAATGGGACATTGAAGCGCGCGAATGGCCCAGAGGATTCCACAAACGTGCCGGAAAAGAGGAATAAGACGGAGTAAGCACCCCTCAGCGGCTGCTTGATTCTCATGACATATGGACTGTCTGGCGCTCTTGTGGGTATCCAGCCGCTGCAGTGTCAAGCGGATTTCAAAGGCCATCCACCCTTCGAGCTTGACGGGACAGTATTCTGAAGACATTTGTGCGGCTTTTAGGTTGTCCTCGAGCCCGCAAGACGTGAATGATGTCAAAGAGTGCTATGAGAGTATTTACGTTCTTGAGGGGTTCTCCAATCTTTCTCCTGAGGTAAGAGCAAACTCTGCCGCTCACTCAATGTTTCCTGTACGCTGATTCTAGTACCCCAGAAGGTACGATTGGCGGATTACGAACGGATCATGAGATGCAAAATTACAAAATAAACATGGCAGCTGTGGAGGAATCTGTTCGAAGTGGAAATAAGGAGTTCTGGAAGCATCCTCTGATATTCTTCGTGTATCTGTGACCTCAAACGTTCAGCCCGGAACATGGCATAGGCCTCGTCAACGAGTTAAGGCAAATGAAGCCACTGTTGAGCTTGCGTAAATTCATAGTCTGTAAAGTCGAGAGTGTATACTTTCCTACTTGCAAATGCGCGAGCTAAACGAGCGGATACAATTCGCAAAGATCGATGCATGAAGTGGTTTCGTGAGAGACAACGAGCAAGGTAGACTAATACCCAAGAAAAAATTCCCTTACAGGATTTCTAGCCCGGGGACGGGTACCACAAGGTAAACCGCCCCTGAAGAGCAAGTGATGATGAGGAACAATGTTCTCAAGGGCAAAGCCGCTCCCCCCCTCCACCCCTTCCGGACGACGTGTGTTTGAAGGAACCTTGTCTGCTCTCATCCATGATGATCTGTATCCCTCACTCTGTATATGTGCGAGCGATAGTGGGTCAGCTACTAGGACGTTCTCGATGGCCAGCCAGTTTTTGCCATTGGCCTTAATACTGCCACAGGCAATATTATCCCAAGGTCTGGCTATGGACTCTCGGAGATAGCCCAGAGAGCAACTGTAGAAGGGCCCCAGTTAGGATAGAAAGGCGCTATCCCAAATGTCTCTATTCTGTGGAGGGCGGAGGATCTTGCTGCTTATTTCCAGCATTCGCTCTGCTCCCGAGCATACCTGGAAGATGACCGTCGTGGCCCGCCACCAGAATACTCCAGCAGGCCCCGGGTCAAAAGGGGGTTCACGTTGCCAGCAGATGTACGAGCAGCCCAGATTTTGTGAGATGAGCCAGAGACCTCTGCTGCCCCCGGGACTTACCTCACCAGGTGGAGGGCTACAACTGAACTCAGAAGATCGTTTTCGTCCATCATTGACGACATATGGATAGGCAGCATTTAGTAGCTCAGATTAGCAAATAGTACAACCTAAATTGGCCGTCGCACCTGGCACGACGCCATACCTGACGGTATGCAATCCTAAGGTGCCCTGTCTTCTCTTTCGTTCAACATTACTTCTGGTAGTGCAAGCCCAGGTTTTGGGCCTGAGTGAGAGCCGGGTAAAGCGTTATCTCCAGACTTTAGAGTGGTTGTGCAGAGGCCATATACGACGGTCATGGCTAGGCAAAGCGCGAGGACTCTTCAGGGCCGATTTTAGTTATGGCCTGCATCCCTGCGTTGGGCACGCTCGGGGATTTGATACTCCGTGTGGGGAGGTCCACGACTATGAGGCTACGTATGACCAGAAATCGCGGGGGAGAGAACCCACGCGCAGGAAAGAGATTTCAGCGGTGGGTCGAAGAAGCAGCCGGTGCCAGCCACAAGAGCGACCCGAGGTCCTTTGGCCCGTCCGTGTAGTACCCCTCTAGGGCTTGGAGCCAAGCAAGTGTAGTAGAGGAGCTGCACTGAGTACTCGGTAGTTCGTAGTTGCTGAGAGCGCGTAAACATGAGAAAGGTAGAGAAGTAAAGAAGGGATTGAGTGCAAGAACAGCTCGATTGACAAGGAGGAGCAAAGATGACGCCAACGGACGCCAAGCCAGTGGATGCCTTAATTCCGCCGATGAGGGGGAAAACCGCAAAGGGCAAAGGGCAAGATTGAGAAAGGATTCTTTCTTGGCTGCGGCCATGCCAACAGAAAAAGTAAATCACCAGACCCCTGCGCGAAATTTTTACCTTTGCCACGATTTTAATATCGTCATTTCAATCTCCAACTTTTCTCCTTTGTTAAAGAGTCCATTTTTCCTCTGAAGCACTCAATCCAAGCCCTCAACAACGGAAAAAAGTCTTCTCGCTTCCCCTCGGTCTCCAAGGACGGACGGACCGCCTGCGCTAAATTTCGCCGAGCTCCCCATCACTGTGGCTCGCTGCTTGTTCCCAATCGCGATCGCAAATCCATAACATCAATCGCAATGGCCGGTCGAAACGTTTCTCACGGCCGTGGAGGCGCAGGTAAGAGACCTGATCGATTGTCTGCCCTGCAGCGCACTTGTCCTCTTCCCAGTTGAGCTAACCTTGAACCCCCTCACCAGGAAACATCTACTCCACCGCAAACCCCACCTCAGCAAAGGATCTCATCACCCCGACAATCAAACAAGATACCTTCACAACCGGTCGCGGCGGCTCAGGCAACATGGTCCAGTATGACCCCGAGCGTCCGGAGATCGCGCGCGAGCTGCAGGATGTAGAATCGCCGCCGCAGCGGGTGGAGGAAGCCCCGCACCATACGGGACGGGGTAGGTTCTGCCCTTTCTTTTCGTCTGCGCGTTGCTGGCATGGTTGATCTGACGGATGGTTGTTCTAGGTGGTGCTGCGAACGCGTACGTTCCGACTCCCGAGGAAGAGAAGAAGGTCCGCGAGCGGGAAGAGGAGAATCTGCAACGGGTTCGGACCGCATCGAGGGATCGGTTGAAGGATGTCAAACAGGCCAGTGAGAAGCGCGCAGGCTCGTCATCTTCGCGGTGATACCTTTATAAGGTTGCTTCCGAAGTTTTCACGGTTTTGGATTCATCGTGGGAAGTGGGATGCTGTCAACAGCTGGCCTCCCAGAACGCCAACGAACCTGTCTCATACTTGGAAAGTACTGCTGGCGGTGCTTGATGTCCCACCCGAATGACTAGGAACTGCATTTGGGCAGGGTTGTTTTGAAATTTGAATTCTGCTCGGATGTCATCTTTTGCTCTTCCTGTTCGGTCGATTGTTTTCTTCACTTCTCTTCTTTCTCCATCTTTTTCACTTCTTTCTTGTAATTTGATAATACCCTTGTCTGAAAATCAAAATTTGAATGACGAAGCGCAGTTCTTTTCCTGAATTGGTTTGTCCCAGGACTGAATGGATTCACTCTAGCTGCTTTATCTTTGGTGATATGGTGGAATTTTGGACGTTCTTTTCCTGTCTATATATCGCTTGAGACTATCTCAAGATTAATACACACTGGAGGCGCTAGTATGAGCTCCAATTGAACCCCGGATACTTATCAACATACTTCGTTTCTTTTTCTGCACAATTTACCAATCAGGATCAGAATTCCTTCCACATAACTCTCTATCGATTTCAACGTAATTATCCACTTTGCTAGACCTGGTCGCTGCTCATATCGTGTCTATGTTGAGGATGCGATTAAGTTAAGCCAGTATCGGCTGGTATCTATGTAAACAACAAATGGCCGGAGATCGGTCCCCCTTATCCTCAGGGCACTGGTATCACGGGGGATGCAACCTAAGCACAAGACATTAGGTGCGAAATGTCGACGCAATTCCTTATGGTCTATGGAATGACCCAATGACACCACAATAGTCGCAGAGTGTCGACCTTGAGTGGCGCGAATGTGAGCTTGGCCCTGATCTCTCATCACTACGTGGGTATTGTCGTCGGACATTGCCAGTAAGAATGGGCTTCGACGGCGGAGTAGGTTTGGGACGTTACAGTGTCGTAAGACACCAACTAAGACGGAAGTGACAGCGATCGTGACGTGCACAACAGAGTCCTTGTTGCAGTCAAGTTAGTGGAATATAACAGCCGGTAGCGTCCAATACCCAACTAATGGATTGTCGCCATTGAGAGTCCAGGAGTCGGCCTATTTGTTGGATGATTCGTGCACCCCATTCACCCATCCACCAGCGGCTTCTCATAAAATGGAGGACCACAGCATAATGAGCCAGGATGACCAGGGCGAACGGATGTCGCTCATGCACTAGGTCTATGAACCTCGGCGGAATGTGGTACATCCACTGGAACGCCACGATTGAAGCTTCCCTGCCTTGCGCAAGTTTTTCTAGAGACTCCCCCAACTGTCTGATTGTTGCTTCAAACATCTCCCTTTCGTGCTTCGGGTTCCGGTTGGCCAGCTGTGAGTTCGTCATTGATAAGGACATGATAGCAAGCCGCGAAGTGTCGGGCATCTTGGGGCCCCATTCGTCCTTTTCAAGCAACGGC